CCCCCCCCCGTCCCCCGGAGCGGGGGGGGCGGGCCGACGCGCGATGTGGGCACCGTCCTCTCCCGGGCTCGGGCGCTCAGCTGGCAGGAAGAGCAGAGGGGCAAGGCTGACGGGGGCAGGGTGTCCAATGGGGAGAGTGTGGAGAGGGAGGTGCTCCCTTCCCAGCTCTGCCACTGTCCCTGCCTGGTGACCCTGAGGGCCATCCCAGCTCCACTTGGTGCCTCAGTTTCCCCTCCTCCCACCCTGTCAATCTGCAAGCTCCTCACAGTGGGGGCGGGGTGCCTCTGGCTCAGTGTCCTAGGTCCCTGATCTCAGTGGAGGTCTACCGTAATGCACCTAATAGCGTGCTACCGTAATGCACCTAATAACGCGCCTTAAGATCTGTGGGCAGAGAGAGCTTTGTACAGGGCAAATATCTAGAAAAAACGCCCAGGATTTTAGGGTGTGCTGAGACCCCTTTAAGGGGAGCCAAGAGGAGTTGCCTTCCCCCCCACACACACCTCTTTAGGCTGTCCTGGACCAACAGCCTAACGAAAAAGCTCCCTGCCTGCTTTGGCCAGACAGCACGCCCTCCTTCCACCTGTCTTTCTCTGTGGCCCCCCCCCCCACAGGGCCTCTGCCAATCCCTCCTCACCTTCTGCCTCGGGGCCCGGGTCGGCTCCTCAGAGCCGATCTTCTGCCTGGCCTCACGGGCTCTGCGGATGTCATCAGCCGTCAGGGCTGCCAACGCCCTGTCTCGGTGGAACAGTCGCCTTTGAGTGAGGTCAGGGCAGACGGAACCGTGGGGGCCAAGGCACGCCACAGGCTGGGCGAGAGGAACCAGCCGACCAGAAACCCTCGCAGCTGTGGGAAGTCCCCCTGATGGAGAGGCATTGGAACACTTGTGAGGGGTCCCCAGTGGACCCGATGTGCCGCTCTCTCTTGGGACAAGCTGATGAGGGGCCCGGACTTCTGCCTGGAACAGGAGAATCAGAGAATGCGTCTGCAGGTGCATCCAGGCATGCACGAGTGCAGAGGTACAGAAATGGGGTGGGTGGATGGACGGACAGAGGCAGGATGGATGGAAGGACAGACAGATGGAGTGATATGGAGATGGGGTGGGTGGATGGACAGACGGAGTCAGGATGGATGGAAAAATGGACAGGTGGAGCAGTACGGAGATGGGGTGGGTGGATGGATGGACGGAGGCAGGACGGATGGAAGGACGGACAGGTGGAGCGGTACGGAGATGGGGTGGGAAGATGGACGGTTGGAGGCAAGATGGACAGGTAGAGCGGTACAGAGATGGGGTGGGTGGACGGACGGAGGCAGGATGGATGGAAGGACGGACAGGTGGAGTGGTACGGAGATGGGGTGGGTGGATGGACGGACAGAGGGAGGACAGATGGAAGGACGGACAGGTGGAGCGCTACGGAGATGGGCAGAGCCTTGCACACATACCCGCATCTGCCTCAGTACCAATGAGCGGCAGATGTGGTACCCGTGGGTATCGGTGGATTTGCAGGGCTCTGGAGACGGGGCGGGTTTGGGATGGGTGGATGGATGGAGGCAGGACGGATGGAAGGACGGACAGGTGGAGCGCTACGGAGATGGGGTGGGTGGATGGACGGACAGAGGGAGGACAGATGGAAGGACGGACAGGTGGAGCGGTACAGAGATGGGGTGGGTGGACGGACGGAGGCAGGACGGATGGAAGGACGGACAGGTGGAGCGCTACGGAGATGGGCAGAGCCTTGCACACATACCCGCATCTGCCTCAGTACCAATGAGCGGCAGATGTGGTACCCGTGGGTATCGGTGGATTTGCAGGGCTCTGGAGACGGGGCGGGTGGACGGACGGGGCAGGTGCACAGAGAAGGGGCGGAAGGACGGCCACGGACGGACGGGGGACAGACTGTGCCAGAGAGCCGCTCACCTTGGCGCGGGCTGGCAGGGAGCTGAGCCGTGAGCTCGGTGCCCAGGTCTGGGGGAGCCCGCGTGGCCTCTCTGCCAGCACCTCGCCCACGCGGCCCGCGCCACGCAGGGCTCCGCGCA